TCCAGCCTTCAGATGAGAGACTTAAGAATTGGGTGTTACATCAACTGGAAACTTTACTGAGGACTTATGGTTCTTCACTTCAGCAATTACATCTCCCAAGACCGACAGATTCAGAACCTGACGATGGATCAAATCCCCTGATTAATGAGCATCTTAACTTTGATGATGATCAATAGAGGTTACTGGCAAATACTATGGTTAGCAAACAGAACACAAAACAGCTAGAGGCTTTCACACTCATTATTCTCTCTATCAACAACAACCTTGGCAGTTCATTTTTCCTATATGGCCATGGAGGAACAGGCAAGACTTTTCTCTACAATGCAATCATTGCAAAATTAAAAAGTCTTTCCAGAATTGCTATAGTTGTTGCCTCATCTGGAATAGCAGCCACACTACTACTGAACGGCACAACTGCTCATTCAAGGTTCAAGATTCCCCTTCACATAGATCATGCATCTACATGTTCCATAAAGAAAGGTACTCATTTAGCTGAGCTAATACGTGCAGCTTCATTGATTATTTGGGACGAAGCACCGATGACACATCGAAATGCATTTGAGGCTATAAGTAGGACGTTTTGTGATTTGATGGACATACCACTATCAGGTCCAAAACACAAGTTATTTGGAGGAAAAACAGTAGTCTTTGGTGGTGATTTTAGACAGACTCTACCAGTAATTTCAGATTCAGGAAGGGAACAAACAGTTGATGGATCCATTACGAGGTCATCGTTGTGGCCCTTTATTAAGGTGCTCAAACTGTCAAGGAACATGAGGCTTAATGATTCACAAGATAATAGAAACCTGGACGGCTGTGGAATGAACTTTGGTGAGTGGATTCTGGCGCTGGGAGATGGAAGGCTGCCAACAAAATCCTTTATGGCAAACACACCTTCAGATTGGATTGAGATACCACAAATACTCTTGATATATGCTGGAAAAAATCCAATCGAGTCAATCACAAATAACATATATGACGCATTTGAGGAACAACACATGAGCACGGATTACCTAAGTGGAAGGGCAATCGTTACTCCTACTAATGCAGTTGTGACTGAAGTGAATGACTTCAAGTTGTAAAAAATTCCTGGACATTGCCGTTGCTACTACAGTTCAGACTCTATGCAACTTGATACAGAGGTGCCTCAGCTATTTGCTGAAACTTACCCAACAGAATTTTTGAATGCTCTTCAGTTCAATGGTGTTCCAGATCATGAAATAAGACTTAAGGTTCACACTCCAATCATGTTGCTGAGAAATTTGAGCCCACCAAACGGCCTATGCAACGGTACGAGGATATTGATTACGAAATCGGGGGAAAATATCATTGTAGGAAACATCATGGGAGGATCTTTTGGCACAAAAGAGGTTGTTATACCACGAATAGTACTCAACGTAGAAGACAAACGCTGGCCCTTTATACTGATGAGGAGGCAATTCCCAGTACGTTTATGTTATGGGATGACTATAAATAAGAGCCAAGGCCAAACGCTGGACAAGGTTGGAGTCTATTTGCCTAAACCAGTATTCAGTCATGGACAGCTTTATGTGGCAGCATCAAGAGTAAGATCTGCAGGTGGTTTGAGATTCTTGATTGAAAATGAGGAGGACATTCCAGCCAATTACACAAGAAACATTGTATATTCAGAAGCCTTCACAGATATTGCACCTGGTTAATTTTGCAAGCATCGTAGAAGCTCGAAATGATTATTATGAACTCTCCCAACTTTTTGAATTTTACGATTGGAAAAATTTGTTCTTCCAATTCTTGCGTTGTTCTTAACAAGAGACACATTTTGTGTTTTTTATTTCGAAACTCAAAGCTAGAAAGCAGTCATGAGCTTTTATCAGTTAACATCGGTTCGGACTATCCAGAGAAAACTTAGAAAGAAAATCGATGAGCCCAACTGATACAACTTGACAAAACAATCATCGCAGGAGCGTATTGTAGCCTTTTCTGTAAGAAGGCCTGATTTAACAGTTATAACCCATTGCATATCATACAGAGCCCAAACACGATGTCAAGGCCCAAACAATCGATCCAAAAAGGACTTACCCTAGTTAAACCTAGCTTACATAAACTACCGATTGTTTTTTATGCCTTCTAGAATCGGCCGCGCAGTCAAGATACAAAAAAAAAGGGAAACCAGGGTCTCGAAGAACTGGAAGCTTTCTTCTACCCAACAGATTTACAGTTGTATAGTACAACTGATACGTGAGATTCCGTGGACCCACACAAAATGGACCCGACCGAACTGAAAGGTAAATACATTGAATCTGGAAAGAAATCCAACAAACGCATCTCGATTCCTATGCGAGTTTTTTCCATTTATTATTTATCGATTCGTCTTTAATCGCGTTGCAGAGTCCATTGATTCAAGCATGTGCTTTCGGGGACTGCGTTTGGGAACAAACAATCGAACCGTTATAGCTAGACATGTCGTTACATGGACTGAGTTCCGAGAAGTGCCTTTATCCACATGGAAGAAAAGGACACATCACATGCTCTGGCTTGACAAAAAGGTTTGACTCCAGATACCCCAACCATATTCATAAATATTCGTCAGAGCATTTGATTCAGTGTTGAGACAAAAGAACTTGCCAATATACAAACCCTAAACATCAATTAACCTACTGGCGAATACTAAAAGATCAAAAACTCTTGACAACATATCTATCTACCATTGACTTTACAGAACAAGTTGATCGAAGCTCAGGTTGAAGAAGAAGATGCAGCTGAGGTTTTTAAGAAAATCAAGGTTGGCTGCCTGCATGAACTACAAGATATTGTAGCAGGTCCAGCAAGGTCAGTGCAACGCGTTGTCCATCAAGAGTTCCGCCTGCTCCTCACTTCAGATCAAATTAGGAGGCACATTAAAGAAGGATATGGACCCCAGCAATTCCCAGCAGGATCATACACAGCAGCCGATTTTTCCATTGTGCCTCAAACATCAGAAGACTTTGTCTGCCATTCAGGTAAATATATGTCTCTCTATCCATGATTAAGAACACCATTAAACAAAGCATAACAAACATTAAATTTGTAGATGTTACAGGATGTGTTAGAAGACTAACTCATCCAGAAACAATTAAAGGAAGGATTCAGAAATTCGACCTGGTCATACAAGATGTCTGGTATGCTCTTAAGATTGTACATTTTTTTTTTTACTTTGTAAAAATGTATAGTTAACGCATTGCTTTGCAATCAGTGGGGCAAAGGCTTATGTTGAATACAGTGGGCATGACATTGATGATTTTCAAAAGCATGCTCTAGCAATTGAGTCAAAGTTACCATTGATTGTGACAATCAAATCAGTTAGTAGAGTAACTCCTAGACTTACAGTAAGTACCAGCATGAATTTCGATCCACAATTGCAAGTAAGCTCATCATCCATTCTTATCAGGACTGCTGCAAGGATATCATGAACATGTGAGTTGCTGTATATGGGTTTACCCAACTAATTGGTTCAACTACTATCGAGTTAGTGATACTTTTACATTTTTTTTCAACATGTAGCTTTCTTGCATGTCGCAAACCAGTTTACTTCATCGATGATGCTACTTGCAAAAAAACTGGACACCTGCTGAGCAATCAACTGCAAAAGAAATCGCTGAGAGAGATAAAAGAAAGGATGGAGGACCTGTCAGATTTCACAGAGGTAAACGAACAAACACCAGCATTGACAACAGCTGTATATTTCCATCTGTTTACCTGTATGATACATCTGACAGTATTTGCAACAGGTTACTTACATGACATTGATTAACATTCCAAGGTTTATATACAGAAAAAGCATCTGCAAAATTCGTGGAGAGAACACAGGGTAAGCTTTTGACCATTCTCCATATTTACACATGCAATAATAATACTCTTTGTATAAACCTAACAAAAAGATCTTTATTGCAAGACTGACATACAAACTGGAAGGGAAATGTCGCCAAGGAGGATCTGAAATAGATGTGGTGTTTAAGCATGAAGCAGCTCTGTCGCTTATTCGTAAGTCACCGTCAGATTATCAGTTTCTGAAGAAGGACCAAATCATCGAATTGATAGCAAAGAACTGTAACAAAAAATTTGCTGCGGAATTGAACGTCGCATGGAAAAAAGTGGGGGACAGTGATTCAGACATGCAACCAAAAGCGACAGTGCTCACCCTGTGGGACCGATCAGCATTCGAGAAATGATGTTGTCCTTCGAAGCTTGCCATTTTGATATCGTGCAAACCACAAAGGCACGAACCTTCTGAAAACATTTTGTCCTGCTGTTTTCCGAATCTTCAGTCTCCGCCATGGAACTTTTATTAGTTTAGTAGATATATCGTGGAAAACTTGGCCACACTCCTAACTACATTCATGTTTATTCTGCAAACCCAGTCAATCTTTTGCATAATGACCGCAGTTTTTATGTTTATGACAACATTTATGTCTATATTTAGAACATAACGATTATGGTTATAGATTATATTAAATCCCATTTAAATTATGACAGAAATAGTATCCCGCAGCGGAGCGCGGGCTGAATCCTAGTATATATATAAAAGAATTAATTGAAGAACAAAATTGAAATAAGAAGTTAGATGATTGATTTCTCAACAATCCAAATTCTTTAATTTTATTTGGATAACTAATAAAATGGATTGTCTTTTATTTTATTTAACTATATAAAAATTTCCATTGCACCCTTTTTTTAGCAGGATTCATTTTTTAAATCGCTTCATTATTTCAGACAGAACATTTTTTCCTATAAAATTCTATATGGATATTTTAAAAAATATAATTTTATGAAAGAAGAAATTATTAGATTATTTTCCTTGATGACGTTTAGCGTAATCCATCGCATCTGTATATGTGTCATTACCATATTTATCGAATTATTGTCATTTACGATATTGTCATTAGTCGGTTAGGGTTAGATAGTTATATAAACCTTTGTTATATCATTCGAGCATATTATGCGAACAATAATATAAAGTTATTAGTTTTTATCTGTAGTTTAGCTTAGAAGTAGAAAAGTTATTCATCAAATTAGTATCAAAGCGGTTGATCCGCTATTTGAATACGATGGTTGACTTCTGGAACACCCGTTACCCTCAAACTCGCTTTCAATCACCATAGCTTTGGGTACCAGAACTCACGACATCCTTATCCTTCTAACGGCTATAGGGGAATTCACTACCACCATATAACAAGCGAGAGATCAAGGAGATGGTATGTATGTTTCACGTTCGTGTCTATACGTCACCTACGACTCACAACTTTACCTCTAAACCAATCCTCGATTATACCGTCCCTAGACGGTCACTTTGGGGAATAGCCCTTAGATCCTCCTTGATTGTATCAATAGAAAAGGGTGTTAGCAATGCCTAGCTCAAAGGCACTAAAGAGAGGGCACTCCATGGGAGGCAACTCGTGTATGGTGTCTAACTTAAAGGAAATGAAGAAAAGTAGTGACGAGAGATAAGTCGTCTTTGACTTCAGCACCATCATCAATAAAGATTTTTTACCCTAGATTTATGGGTCGTACCTAATTAGGTTAATGAAGGGCAAACCTCTAACTTGAATTAGACACCAAGGTTAAATGTGATTATGACGTCCAAACCTTGGCTTGAGGGAGAAGGTAAGTCAACCCTCAATTGCGTGTTCCAAGAGGGCTACACTTGTAGCCTATAATGCTTTACTTGGCCAAGCAATTGAGAGGATGGTTTCTAACCATTGTTGGACCTCTTATGGGTGACAATTTCATTGGCACACACCGGTTTATTCGATCCCATGGTTCATGGTAGTTAGTTAGGGGGGAAGCAACTCCCGAGTGAAGCTTCTCACCAAGAGTTTTCCACTCTTTTACGTTTCAAGTCTTACTTTTAAATAGTAGATTGTAGAGATGTCAATAAACAACATTCCACTAGATAATGTCTCAAACAATTGAAGTAGGGGTACATGGGCCGGGTCGGGCCGAGTTGATAATTAAACATACTTGCCCTATATTGCACTCATCTAAGGTTTATACTTGGGACTTAGGTGGGATTTTATTCTGATATTCAGAGCAAGTCAAGTTTTTTGCGCCGTTGCCGGGAACGTTTGGTCCGTTATCTTGGAAAGATTGTTTGGTGTTAATCTAGCATTTATTTTTTGTTTTGCTAAGTGTGAAGTTTTGCTTGTGCTAGACGTGTTGTGTTCTTTAAGTGTGTGTAGGGAGGTGTATGACCCAGATCAATCCGACGATTTAACACCACTAGACGAGAACATCAACCGGACTCTCCGACTTTTGGCTCTTGCGAGGGAGCTAGCAGAAGCAAGAAGGAGAATTGAAGAGAGGGGGCAACAAGTTGGTCCCGGATTGGAGGAATTGAAGTAGAAGTTGAGATGGCGGGAAATCAACATCGAGGTCCTAATCCGCTTCAGAACCAAAATGACGAAGCGGGGGTTTAGGAAAAACCAAGGACTATGGGCTATTACATGTCTCCACGAGCGGCGGATATCCAATCTCCCATCCAACATCCTCCGGTGGCTGCCAACAACTTTGAAATCAAGCCCGCTCTTGTGACTATTCAAAACAACGCCTTGTTCCACGGGCTTGCCAATGAATCATCGCGAGAGCATTTTCAAAGGTTTCTTGAGCTTGCGGGAAGCCTGGAGATAAATGGCGTCCCTGAGAAGGCATTGCAACTAAGGGTATTCCCCTGCTCTCTTGCAGGGAAGGCGCTCCGATGGCTCAACAACCGACCAACTCGATCCATCACCTCTTGGGACGATTTACTCAACTAGTTCATGACCCGATATTGTCCTCCTTCCAAGACGGCCGAGTGGAGGAAGAAGATCACTCACTTTGAGCAAGAGGAAAATGTGACGTTGAGGGATGTATGGGAAAGATTCTCCGACATCTACCCCCAATGCCCTCACCATGGATTCAAGGAGCAATTTCGGATAGAGACTTTATATGGCGGTCTCATTCAAGATGATAAGATTCTCATCGACTCTCTTTGCCAAGGGATGTTGATGAACATGACCCCACTTTAACCGAATGAGAAGATATGGCTCTCAGAGGATATGATTGGGGCTTCACAAGAAGTGATAAGAGAAGCACTGAAAGAGGAGTGCAAAGTGTGGGAGAAAGTGCTACACTTGAAGCAAAGCTTGACAAGTTGATCGAGGTGATTCTTGAGGGTAAGAAGCAAGGGAAGGAGTTGTTGGTGCCATACGATTGTGGTGCAAGTTTGGGCTATGAGGAAGCCGAGTGCCAAATGATGAATGAGGAAACGACCCATTACGAGCAGATGAAATCTATCTCCCTTGTGCATGCTGACCGGAGGTCTTGTCTAGAGGAGCAAGTGACCACCTTTGTTGACTCCAGGTCTGAGAAGTTTGAAAAAAATTGAGAGGTTCATAGGGGAGGTAACAGAGAAATTCTCAACCATAGAGGCGGGGTTGCAAAGTCACCAATCACTCTTGGCAACCTTGACCACAAGTATGAGGATTATCTTGCAGGCAGGTCTTTCCCATAAGCAATTCAATAAAGCGGGAGTAGGGGCGGTTAATCTTCGAAGTGGGAGAGAAGCGAATGAGCTATCTCCGAAGAAGAAGCCATCTGAGACAAAAGAGCAAGATGGATCTTGTAGTTTCCCCGAACAACTAGGGGGCACAAGTGCAAATGGAGGGTAGAAGGTCGATTCGATTCCTCCACCGGAGTAGAGGAGGGAAAAAGCAACTCCAACTATTCCCTATCCTTCTAGACTCTGCAATGACCGCATGGCGGAAGAGTTTGCCCACTTCATTAAGTTGATGAACAAGTTGCACCTCAACATCCCTTTCGTGGAGGCCCTCACCCAGATGCCTAGGTATGCAAAGTACTTTAAGGACCTCCTCACCAATAAAAAGAAGCTGGAAGGGATGGATACAACGACTTTGAATAAAGAGTGCTCGGCCATCATGTAGAACCACCTGCCCACAAAACGCAAAGATCCAGGGAGTTTCACTATCCCTTGTTTTATTGGCAACATGTGCATAGGAAAATCCTTGACAGACCTAGGAGGAAGTATAAATGTGATGCCTTATATGTTGTTTCAAAAGTTAGACCTGGGTGAACCTAGAACTAACATGACGAATATCCAGTTGGCGGATAGGTCCATTGTGAGGCCTAAGGGTGTTGTTGAAGACTTACTTATGAAGGTAGGGCCTCTCATTTACCCTGTCGATTTCGTCATTCTAGACATTGATGACAACATCGATGTCCCCCTCATCCTGGTAGACCTTTCTTAGCTACCGCCAAGGCCTTAATTGTTGTGCATGGAGGAAGAAGTAGGGGTGGGCAACGGGAAACGGGTATTTGGGTATACCTGTACCCGTCCCATTTTTTAAGGGTTACGGGTACCCATATTACCCGTAATATTATAAACGGATGGGATTTGGGATTGTACATTCTTAATATGGGTACCCGCGGGTTATCCGCGAATACCCGTTTCGGTAATATGGGTACCCGTTATACCCATTCAATACAAAGGCAACCCAACCCAATTCAAAACCCATTGGCCATTTCGGCCCTCACCCTTGCAATTTCAATTCCATTTGCCATTTGAGCCTAGGGCCCTTACCCTTTCAGTGAGACTCAGCTTCTCTGCTATAGATTTTAGCTTCTCATGAACCTAAAAATTAGGGCACTTTCTGCATTCAGCAACACAAGAAAGTAGCAGCATGCCTCCCATTTGGTTGTGTTGAATGAAACTTCTTATTTGATAATTTGGTGCTTGGAATGATTTATTTCTATGTGTTGTGATTGTTCAAGAATGTGTTATTTGCAAACCAAGTATTTGTGATTGGGATGTATTTTGTTTCTTGTGAGTGTTAAACAAATACAAGTTAAGTTTAAACTTTTGTTAAAATTTTAGTGGTTTAAATTTTGGGTATTTATGGGTAGTATGGGTACCCGGTATACGTTCCGTACGGGAAATGGGTACCCGTTCCTCATATGAGTTTGGGATATGGGATGGACTTTGATCTCCAAACGGGACTGGGTGCCCGTTTAAAACGGGACGGGTATCCCGTCCCGTCCCGTTGCCCACCCCTAGGAAGAAGACTCAGCAGTAGGGGTACCTCGTCCGCCATGTCCACCACGAGGAGTAGGAGGTCTCGCCCTACAGAAACACCATAGAAAATCAATCTCTCGAACTTGAATGAATCCCTCAAAACAGTACACTATCCACCAAATCAATCCCTCCAAAAATCAATCCCCCAAACTAGAATCAATCCATCCAAAATAAAAATCAAGCATCACACAATAATCACCCAAACTACAAAATAAAAACAACTTACATAGGAATAGAATTGGAGCAGCCAAGCAAGCGGTTGATGGCAGTCGGCGACTCGAGGAGGAGGAGCCGAGGTTGAGGGGAGCGGAGGAGGCGGACGTCAGGGGAGGGTGACCGATGATTCGAGGAGGAGGAGCAGAGGTCGAGGGGAGCGGCGGAGGTGGATGTCGAGGAAGGGCGATCGACGCTTCGAGTAGGAGCAGAGGTCGAGGGTAGTGGCGGGTGAGCGGAGTCGGACATCGGGGGAGGGCGTCGGCGATTTGAGGAGTAGAAGCAGAGGTTGAGTTGAGCGGCGGGCAAGCGGATGCAGAGATCAGGGGAGAGGGTGAGCGGAGGTGGAGGCCAGACGCGGAGGTCGACGGGATCGGGCAGCGCTGGCCGGGGAAGGTTTCTAGTCTCTGGCGGTAGTGGATCAAGTGGCGTAGGAGCGAAGAGAGATCGATTGAGGCCGAGGGGGGACATGGGGGCAATTAGGGTTGGGCTTAGGGTGGTGCAGGGTTGTTTTGGAGGCTAGGCGAAACGGGTCAAGTAGCCGAGTAATCGACAGCAACCTGACCCATCTCGCCCGGCCTCCAAAAACCGATCGCCCATCGGTTATACTGGTTTTGGGTTAGTGGATAACCGAACAGTTTTGATGATAACCGAATGGTTATCCACTAACTGAAAAATAGTTGTCCAGCCCTAACCGACATTATCGATTTAAGACTTTAAAGTAAAATGATGTCATTTTAGTGAATTTAATTAATAAAAAATAATTTATAATTTATTTTATGAATTTAAAAGTTAAGTGTTGATGTTATTTGTTGGATTCATGTATAAAGTTTACTTATTGACATTAAATGTTGTATTTAAATGTTGATGTTAATAGGTTTTCACATTTTTATATAGTTTGTTAAACCGACATGAAGATATAAACTGATATGAAAACCTTGGTACACACCAATTGCACTACCTTCTTGTTTGTGAACTGTTATTTTTGTGTTATTATTTACGAATTTAGTAATGTATCGGAAATAGTATACTATGATGGAAAAAAATTTAAAACCTACATCAAGGTGAATTGAACTAGCAACTTAATGTTTACCGAGTTGATTTCTAACCAAATAGACTATCTTACTTTAGTGGACTTTTATTCTTTCATTACTATTTAGTAATGTTTAACAAAAGGATTGAACTTGTGTTACTTAGCCAATTAGGCTACATTAATTTTTGTTAACACTTAATCAATGTCCATATATAATTAGTTTAACCTGATTTTAATGACTTATTCACACTATTTTATCTCTTAAAAGGAGAACAATCATCAAATTAGTTTAATCAATCCTTTGATTCTTTATTAAATTATTATTAATTAATTTAAATACATTTAAATGATCAAGCGCCAAAAGAAATTTATTAGCAATGCCCCCTATGACAAAAAATATTGTCGCCACTTTGTACCTTAATCAAATGCGAATTTTTTAACTTCATTGATCCATAACTCTATTGACTCACAACTCAAATCAAGTACAATTTGTACTATATAGTATATGTACAAAATTATTTTAAACTTGTACCATAAGGTATATGTACAAGTTCAATTTTACCATAAATGTATAGGTACAAGTTCAATTCGACTAATAAGGTATATGTATAAGTCCAATTTGACCGTATTTTGCCGTAAAAGGTCTTTACAATGAAAAGCGACCTTTTCTGACGCCAATCGTCTGGTCATACATGACTGTCTTTTTTGTAGTGTAGCGACATAGAGGGTGCTCTCTCCAATGGTTGGATTAACAAACGTCTGAATCCAACTAAAGAGCATTTTGTTGTTGCAATTACGAGGCTCTAGAAGAGGAGAATCATCGCTCTGTTGTGGAATTTTGTCATTGAGAAATCCTAGATTATTCTTCCCGTCTACGATCAAAACCATTGGTTGTTCCCAGCTTGAGAAGTTATTCCATTTAGTGGCTGGCAAACAAGGCAATGGCCTTGATTAGGGCATAATTACACATCTTTTACCCACTTATATCTTGATTGTTTGAGTTGGTAATCGTCATTACTCAAAATATTTTACGTTAGATAGTGCTTCTTTTGTCACATTTCTGGACCTAGTACGCATGGAAAGGTCGAGAACGAGTTTCGGGACGGATGGAGGCAAGAATGTCAAGAATGGAAAAAACAAGTAACATGGGCAGCAACACGGTCGTGTTCCCTACCCGTGTTCGCGACGGCTAGGTAGAACATGAACACTTAAGGTCAAAGACAATTTTTGCCAAATGACCAACACGGCCGTGTTCTCAGCCCGTGTTAAAAGCTGAGTTCCAGGAGCCTTCTTGCGTCTCGCGGACACTCGCCAATATCATGATATCCCAGATCGTGAAATCAACAAAGAGGCAGTGACATCGACTGAAATGGTGCGTAGCAATGATGACGGAAAAACACGGTCAGGATCACGTTCGTGTTTCCTGACCGTATTGGTCCTCTTCACTTTCCTTAGCAGAAGATCAAAACGGAGCGCTTTGGGGAAGTGAACATGGCTAGTCAACACAACCTTGTTTTTGGGTAGTGTTCAAGTTGATTCAGTAGCTACAGGAGGAATAAGGAGAGCTTGGTTCTTCTTTAGGGTTTCGACCCAAAACACCCAAAGAGGCATTTCTAGAGAGAGATCTTGAGTGATCTTGGAGGTTAATTTGATGCTTTGGTTGATTTTGGAGTCAAACATTCAAGCCTAGAAGATTAAGAACATGAAGGCCTTGAACTATTTATGTAAACTCTCTCTTCTCTCTCTAGAATTAGCCCTCTTCTCTTAGGTTGAAGAACCCTAGGTCTAGATTTTGGTTTGATGTTGATGTATATGATGAATCCTATGTTTCATTTCTCATTTTATTTAGTTGATGGATGTTTATCATGAATTGCATGAATGTTGATTCCATTTCATGTCCATTGGGTCTTTTACCTAGGAGGGAGAAAATCCCCATTTGACTCATTCTTGGTAGGTAGGGTCATTCATGTTATATGTCATTTGAGTTAATCGTCAAGGTTATCGATTAGATCGATCTCTTCACAATATATGTTTTCCATAGGTTGAATAAAACACTACCAATTCATCGCTACACCGTTCCGGGTCAATACCCAAGGGAGTCCATCTCCTATTGGTAGAGAATTTGAGCCGATTGAGCTAGAATGGTACACAACATCGGTATGAATGATGGAACTAGGGGGATTCAAACTAAGAGGGCTCCACAAACTTTTAATTAGCTAGGGTAGTGGTTAGGTTAGTTTAGCCAGATTAGTTTCTTAATCACTATTCTTGTTTGGCTAGATAATGAAACTTAACCTGAAGTAAGGTCAATTTGGAGACCTATGGTTCACTATTTTTATTACTTGCTTACCCAATACTACAGCCGATCGTTGGTTAAACTTGACCTTCGATTGGGAAGGTGTAGATAGTGTAACACCCTACCCTATACGTTTTGCCTAATCATAATATTCATAAAATTGCAGCGGAATTAATCTCGGGTGTTACATTAATTATCATAATTTACCCAAATAAAATTTCGACATGAATTACTCGCGTAATGGGCTAACAGTTCTTGTAACTAAAACCTGCAAAATAATTTATCACAAACATATACACTCACAACCATATGCATTGGCTTTTCTTAGCCATAGTCACAGTTTCATACTACACAACTGCATACCAAACTTATACATACCATAATCATCACAACTTACACAGTTACACAACATATACACATATCATCAACTTTCCACACCCGTGGATATCTCACACTACATCAAAAGCTAGTATGTACATGAAAAACGTTCTCAAAACATTTTTACAAAAAGGTGTGGATCACTGGCCAAAATCCCTAGTAGTAGTCCAAGCACAGAATAGTTGAAGACCATACCTCATCCTGCCTTCAACTCTTGCTCAGCTCTCACCTATACACCTATCTACTGCTGCTGCTGATGATCTACTTACACATAGCATAAGCAGAGAAGAAGAATAAAAGAGGGTCAGCTCATAGCTGAGTGAGATAATCATAGCATCGTGAGTTCATAACAGAGCATACCCCTACCATACATCTAGCAAACAATCCAAAGCACTGGGATCAGATCTCAGCCCTCCGACATCCCAATAGGCAAAAGACTCAACCACCTTGACTTATGCATATGCATCTTATCATGTTTTAATCATAGGCGCCTGGCTACTCCCATGCTAATAACTCTCCCGGGAAACATACCCCACATCCCGTCGGATGTAGTCATACATACCCCAACATCCCGTCGGATGTGGTCATACATACCCCACACCGCTATGGGTGTAGTCATACCCCGACACTGCTCTGGGTGTGGTCATATCTCATAAGAATTCTTCAGTCACCACCATATGAGAGGTGTGACTATCATACATATCATAATAGAGTAATAGCATAGGTAGCCCTAATTACTATGTAGTTGGTCGTGAGACCATAACACTCATATTTGGTATCCTTATACATGATTCATATCTCATCTTGCTTAATCACAATTCGTTACTTGCACATGTACTTGACCTGACCATAATTGTCCATATAGCACAAAAGTCCATACACCCCTAATCATGCCATTCTAGTTCACCTAGATCAATTCTAAGCATCAATATAATTATCGTGATACGACAAACCCGGTATGCCGTGCTAATCCCTCACCAGTTCTGGTCGTTCAAACACCGGTTTAAGCTTCCCCGTACTAAAACGTCAATTTCACGAACAAACCCCGAATTAAAATCCGAGACCGGCCTAATATCCCCTGCAGTATCCCCGTCAATATTAGTTCTGGGATCCGGGTCAAATTCTCGATAAAAACACATCAAACCCCGGCCGGAACTAAATTCAGCGGTTTGGACCCCGGCCTAAATAATTGCCGAAATTCAGGGATTAGAACTAGAGGATTGATTACCTCGCTGCAGGAAGCTCGTATATGAAATTTGGGCTCAATCCGGCTTCCGGATACTCCGAAACCCTAATTTGCCTTATCGGGAATTCAAGAAATTCCTGATCAAAAAACTCGTTTTAAAGCTCTAAATCGATAAATCACGATGTATGGATGAATTAGGCATTACTTACGGGATTTTTGGATCACTTATGCTCGAGAATTGAGCTCTGAGGATTATTCTGTTCCTCCCCTGCGCGCCCTGCTTCTCGGTTTCTCTCGGCCCAAAATAATGTAACAGAAAGAAAGAAGAAAGAAAGAGGATGATGGTGGAATAATGGACGGGTGGAAAGGGAAAGTTAATATATATATGCCGGCCGCTTAATTAGTATATATATATATATATAATTAATTTGTATACTTATCCGATCGATAATCCGATTTTCGCCGAAATAGTGTCGAAATGCTCGATTTTAAATCGTGAAATTTTCTAGCGAACGAAATACGATTTTAGCCGAAACGGGATGTTAAAATTCTCCCCTCCTTAAAAGATTTCGTCCCCGAAATCTATTCTTGAGTCGTACTCTAACTCCTCTTACTTACCCTTAACATGGCCTATCATACATAAAGTCATTACCTAACTCTTAGGTTAGGCAATTCATAACATAGAGAGTAACACATAACACC